AATCAGTCGACTTGACTAATACAATAGATGGATTAATGTTAGTTTGTGTTATGTTGTGTCTCTTTCGTTAACTTCCATATTTCTATTTGTGTGGAAGGTTATTTAATTAGGACATTGTCTCTCTTCCATATGATGTTTCCTTTTCAATGTAACCCTATATAAATGGTCCTTTTATATAAGTTTTGTTATGTGTTTTGAGTATTTGTAATCGACCAAATGGTAGCTTGTTTTATGTTTTATTTAGTACATTGTCTCTCTTGTGACTTTTTCGTAATTTATGTGATTATTTTGTGATAGTTTGATTATGGAATTAGTATATAATCTTTCCTTTTCAAGTTATTAATTTGTAACCCTATAAATAAGATTTTTTCAATATAAACTAATATAATATATCGAATAGTTTGTGTTATGATTAATTAGTTAGAAGTTTGTCTCCCTTTCGATATCTCCCATAAGTGGAATGATAGTCTATATTATGATTAGGGTGTCATCAATTGAGATTTTGATGAATATTAAAAGATAATAAATTTTAATGAATTTCGTGAATTTGAATAGATTTTCATAGAATTCGTAACAATCTATAGAGAAATTTCAAAAGAACTTGGTATATGTATTTTTAAACTTGAAATACATCCAAATTTTTTATATTAATGAAATCATTATAAATCTATGAGTTTTTGAGGATGCCTAGATTTTAAAGGATTTCATTAAAATCTCGGTTGGGAATACCTAGATTCTAATGGTTTTCATTAAAATCTCAATTAGGATCACCTGGATTGAGAAAGATTTTTAAAATTCATCAAAATCTCTCCAAGTTAGGATATTCTCACTCTTAGGTTATCTTCCTTATATATATTTCTATTTCAATTATATTCATTTTATAGTATTAACAAAATAAATGAAGCATTTCGCTTTGTTTCTGTATGCCTATGAATGTAAATTGTTCAGGGATTCAGGAAGGTTGATCCAGACAAGTGGGAGTTTGCTAATGAAGGTTTTTTGAGGGGGCAAAGACATCTTTTGAAAAACGTAAAGAGGAGAAAAACGTCGTTGAATCCTCAAGCTTCACATCAAGGTTTCGACTCATATGTTGAAGTGGGAAAGTTTGATTTGGATGCAGAAATAGATCAGTTAAGGCGCGACAAACAGATTCTAACTGCGGAATTGGTGAAACTCAGACAACAACAGCAGAATACTAATGCATACCTTAAAACAATGGAACAAAAGCTGAAATGGACAGAAATGAAACAACAACAGACGATGAGTTTCTTGGCAAAGGCAATTCAAAATCCTAATTTTTTACAACAGATAGTCCAGCAGAGAGATAGAAGGAAAGAACTAGAGGAAGCCATCAGTAAGAAGAGGAGGAAGAGAATTGATCATGGTCGAGCTCACGTCGGTGAAGATTCTAATACTTACATTGACAATGATGAAGTCGAAGAATTAGTCGAGATAGGGGAAGGAAACATTTTTGTTGAACCTCAAGAATATGGTGATATTATTGGAGAACCAAGTGGAATCTCAATGCACAAGGAGGAAGAACATTTACAGAAGAACGATGACATAGAAAATCAAGAAAATGCAGACAAGTCTTTTCATGTAGGATTTTGGGAAGACCTTATAAATGAGGGTATTGACGATGAGATTGGGACATTTGTAGATGAGGGAGAAGTTGAAGAAGATGTAGATGTTTTAGCTGAGCAGCTTGGTTTCTTGGTATCTAGCCCTCGATAGAAATTCGACTCGGTTTATTGCCTGATGGTTGGGTTCGCTGGATAACATTAGACGTGATCATGGCAGAAAAAATTATATCGTTTAATCAGATACATCAATACAGTACTTATGCTTCTAAACATTTGTAAATTACAATGACTTGGTCGAAGACTGCATAAACTTTGGTGATTTTCTATATCTCATTTCCTTCTGATGTAGTTTTCTGAATCTCTCTAGAATTTAATCTTTAATCAGGGCTCTTTTTGTTCTCTAGACATAAATTCTATCATTTCACGTCTTTTATTCAAACTCTTAATCTTTTCTCTGAGTACCTAAAATACCAGCTATGGTAATGCCTGTCGAGTTTAGAGGCCCAAAATA